GAATTAAAATATAAAAATTACTAAAATGACTTGTTAAAAACTGAATTTGTTTACTGTACTTTTATTTTACCTTGCAATTAAAACAATTAACAGAAAAGTCACAATTTTATGGCTATATTTTTCAAAGGAAACAAAGAAAAATTAGTTTCAACGACGGCATCACTTCTGAATATCAATAATCAGCATTTCAAAATGAAATGGCATGGCAAATTAGGAAAAAAAATTTAACTGTTATTAAAATATTTTAAACAATCATTTATAAATTATTTAAAATTAACAAAATGAAACAATTTATCAATGATCCGTTACGTTATCATTCCCTTTATTTGGCACAATGAACCTTTGATTTCGACGTGAGAAAATTTGATCGCCACTTGGTCACCAATCTCTGGAGATTTCTCTGTGTTCTTTATACGTGCAAAAAAAGTTATCGTGTTATGTAGTTTGGCGGTTATGAATTTCTTAAAAAAAAAACACAATAAAAATTAAAATAAAATTGTATTAAAAAGTCAATGACCGTTAAATAATCTGATTTAAAGTGTTAAGCATTATTTCCTATTTATTTAGTATTCACTATATAACCGCGTACAATTGAGGAACAGTCCACAACGATACGTAGCATACTAGAAGAGGAGTGGATAACAGGGCAGATCAAATGAATTAACACTTGCTAAAACCTGTTTAAATTTAACTGTTTCAAATTTGAGTTTTTTTTAAAAAAACATTCCATGCTTTAAGTATTAAATAAAATTACCTTATCAACAGCTGCTACCACGCAATTATAAGTATGGCCTTGTTTCGGGCGGAATACAATACAGTTTACATTTAAATCAATATGCATACATGGTTGATCAGCGATACAAAATGGTTTGTCAACAATATCAACCTTTCCCACAGCTAATAAGATGCCGTCTAATCTAGAATATAACACTGTATATAATTCTCAACAAAAAGTAACGCTTCAGTGAAATGTAATTTCATTTGAATTTAATTAATAAATATAAACTTTAAGACAAACTACGATGCAGTCAAGTACCATATTTCAAAACAACTAAAATTAAATTAATTTCGTTCCTTTTACCTTTAATAAACAGCTAACCAACTAACAAGCAGAGTAGCTTCTAGTGGAATATCCTTGATTTGAGATTTAAAATTTGTTACATCACGCAACTTACATTTCAAACCTCACTTTTTCAGTAGAAATTTGCACGCTGAATAACTAATCCTTAGTCTAAATAAGGAAAAAAATTAAAATATGAAATAATGAGACGATTTCATGTGCTATTCATTCTCAACTACAAACATCACTGACAAGTTCCGTGCCGAAAAACGAATAGGATCTACAAAAACTAATCATGAAACTTACGATTTTCTATACTGACCAAGTGAAGAGTTTAAAATATATCTGATAGCATTAGCAGCTTCTCCCAACTGATGCCACCCAATCGTTATGTGGCGCTTTTCTACTACTACAAGCAGATCACAGTTTGCATCTGTAGTCATAATTCTGTAATTTTATAGTAAAAATAAGCTAGAAATTTAAAATTGATAAAAAAACATGAAAAGAATCTTATTTGAAAATTACTTGCTAGTAATATTATACAAATTCAATAAATTCGTTTTTTTTTTTTCTTAATATCGTCAGGACCCATTCAATGAATTTCCAATATAACGAAAATTGTCTAACTGGAATAGTAAAAGTTGAAGGAAGAAAAAAGGAGAGAAAATAAAGAAAACTACCGCTTTAATTTCTGATAACTCATCCCAATATATCGATCCATTCCCATTTTCAGTTTATTATCATAATAGTTTGTTATTTTTTTCTTGTCCTTTCCGATGGAATTTCGCGACGCTTCACTTGAATCCATTTCCAATACATCACCATCATTTTGCAATTTGATCCTTTTCATGCCGGTTCTAACGCTAGCTCCCGCATTTTCCAATCTTTTTCGCTTACCCATATGCTATACTTCAGTTTTGAGAAGACCTCTAAATTTGAAAATTAAAACAGAAAACAATAAATTCAAATACGTTTGCAAATTGAAATAAATAAAAAGAAATAAACACAGGCAAAATTTTGATCCTGTGATTCTTTTGATGAAAAACACTGTCTAACAAATAGTTTATCATAAAATAATCGCATCGGATTCATTCATTAAATACAGTGTTATTCTGCACACATAATTAAAAAGTTGATAAATACAAGGAAATTTCATTATAATTTCAAGGGTATATTTGGCCATAAGTGTGCACCAGGTTGAGAATAATTCTGTTCGAATCGGAGATCTAAATGTGCTTCCATTGCCAAAATTTTCTCAGCATCATTGCCATATAATTCCTTCATTTTATCGAACTTTTTTAGTCGTTCAGCAGGTCCATTAGGCAATTGAAATGATCGTTTTTCGTTGCCATAAACACCAACTGCAATAGTATGGCTGACGGAAAATATAGTCTAAATTACTTGTACATCTTAAATATGATTTAAGATTTCGCTTATGCTAAAATTTTTACTGACAATTCTTCATTACACTGATCAGAGAAGTTAGCAACAGATAGCTTAGATTGGCTGACGTAGATGAACCAGATTATCCCAAGATATTCCCAAAAGAATGCGATTTTCATAATAGCAAAGATTCAGCCTAAACAAGAAGCAAATACGAGGGCAGAAAAAAACTTACTCTTATCAGCCATTACATAATGATCTTCTGTGATGCAACTATCTTCCTTATTTCTCATGGCTTCTTTGCTTCGATCAGCATCTCCTAAAACAGTAAACCGTTTAAAAAAATATGATTCCTACAAAATGGATGTTGAAAAAAAAAAGCATCAAAAACTTGGAAGATACTCTGTTTTCTGTGCTCTATTGTTTGTCTGAAAAAAGCAGCCATTTCGCTACTCATATCAATGTCTTCGCCCATGTCTCCTGAAGATGGCCCCTGTCTTTCATCTGATAAAGAATCGTTGTTGTTGGTTCGTGCTAAAATGCACTTTTTTTTAAAATTCGTATTTGTAAAGTGCAAACTGTTTACAAAATATATAACAGCTATACGATAAAAATGACACATTTCTCAATTCTCTAATCTCTTTTCTATAATTAGTCTGGCAAATTCATGATAGACCAAAAATTTTTTAAATTCAAATTAAAGCTGTTTACAACATAAAAAAACAAGTTATAGATTAACATAATAAACTTAATCAATCGTCATTGTTACTACTACTACTACTACTAAAGCTTCCATATAATCCCTGAGTAGGTAAATAGTTTAAAATACAAACTTCAAAATTATTTTAACAAATTACCTATAAAACATAGAATTAACGACACATGTGCATTCTTGCCAAAGCCAAAGAAAAAAAATGTTTAGCAATGGTAAATAATACATTCATATAATCTATAAACTTCTAACTGCTTAAAAACATTCAAACTGACAAATGATTACTATTCAGAAAATCTGTTTCATTGATGTTAATCATATCAGATGAACCATTGACCGCGTATTCACGAGCTGCTTGATGTGCATTAAACCATCGTAAAGCTGCCCGGTGATAGTTCCAAAAACTCTTTAGATGTCGATCATCCATAAACCAAACATTACTGCCACACATCCTCTAAATGAATGAAATTTGCCTCACTCTGCTATTTCTTGCATGCTCAATAAGCATGACTTACAATATTAACCCACCAATTACACAAAGTGTCAACAAAAACTTCCAATGAGAACTTACTTCAATAAAACATGCCTCAGTTACAGATAAAAAAATCTCCACTACTTCATCACTGAAAACACTGAAATCACCGTAGCAAGAAATATGATAAATTCTAATATAATTCATGTCATCCAAATTTCAGTTTTTCGATTTCATATTCGGATAAATACAAATCAAAAACATATGATAAATGATATGAAGTAACTTCAGATGTGCTAAAATAATTTATTATCAATAATGGAAAATCAATCACTCAGAAACTATCCATCAATAAGTACTGAATAGCTGAGGAAATCGCATAAATGCATACACATAAGCACATATATGGCAATTCCTGACAGAAAAACAAGCACCATAATTAAGAACTTTTTTTCACATAGCTAAAATTTAAATAGAGGAGAAGAGTAAGAAAACAACAGCACTGTTGAAATTTAATAGAATGAATTACAGTTCAGCTTGAAACTTTCATTGCTAAATAGAAGAAAAAAAAAAACAAATAAATAATGCATAGTTTTAGGGAAACGATATAATAAATATCGACTTATTGGCAACTATAAAAATCGCACAGACAAGAAACGCTTTGGAGTATTTGATTTTGTTCATTTATCTTTTTATAATTTTAGTTGTTCATTCTGCGATTTTAGTGATGCAAATATGGCAACTAATCAATATGCTTTGAATTATAAAAATAAATATTAAATTGAATACTACCAATCAATAAAAGGTCAAATGAAAACGAGTAATTTTGAACACAATTTACTGTAAACGAAACTATTGAACTCGCCAATTTCTAATTTCTAAATGGTTGATACTGAAACTTCCTTTGCGTCATAGAGCAACAAAAGTTGCTTGAACCAATTTGCTTCGTTTACCATTTCATTGATTCGAGTGAATTCAAATTTAATGTCCAAGCGATTGCAACATTTAATTCAAGCTAAGCAAATTGCAGAAATATAGCCACGCAAACATAGTTCCTAACTATATTTGAATGAATTATGCAATTATTAAGCGCTTCGCCAAACTTAAGTGACGAAAGGAATGAGCAGTTAATATAAAACAAAACAAAACAGCACACCTTTTTCAAGAAAATTTAAAATTTGAGATTCAAACATGACATTATTTAGTTACCTTATACAGCTCGAAGTTCAGTATAACAATACAACTTTATGATTGTTCGAGCATCATCAGTTCAGCTCAGAATGAACTGATAATTGCCCACTATTATGCACGGAAAGAGGTAATCAGTAATAAACAAAAGAAAATAATCAAACATAATCGCAGTTGCTGAGCGATCAGATAACCATACGAACTTCACCATCATTGTTACGCTCAGCGTGTTGTTCCTTTTCGGCTTTTTTTAATTCCTTCTGACGTCGCTTCGCTGCAGCCAAAGCTATTTGTCGGCGTTGAACTTCGGACGCTATTTTTTCACTATTTATAACTGGTAAATGGGACTGTATTTTCTTTATATTGTCGCCACGATTATCACCGACAGTGCTAAAAATAGAATGAGTTCGAATAAAAGTTATCTCGATCATCATAGTAACGAAAAATTGATCGTTCTGTAGAAGTGAAACAAAATAGACAACGAGGCTATTTTACATTTTCGTTTATTTCTCGTAATATTAAAGCTGAGCAGTTGACTTGAAGTTTAGAAAATGTGACTCGAAAAATGATACTTTAATTTTAATTAATTAAAACAGTTTAAAAATTCCATCTGAATTTTATTTTTTATGACAATAGTTCCAACGCAACTAAAGCAAAAGCAACTACCTTACTGAACGGGATTCTGGTTCTGATAACGCCCAGTGATTTTCACGAAGAAAATTGATTTCACGGAAGTTAGCCTCTAGTTCCTTCAGCTCAATACTAATCAATGCCCAGTAACCAGAAAGATCGCTAAGATTTACCTGCCCCACATCTGAATTTTGATCCTGAAAGTTGGCTTATACTAATCCAATATAACAAAATTTTGTTTACTACAAAATTAAGAACGGATGGGTTTATTATTATAAGCAGATATTTCAGCGCTGTCTGGATCATATGAAAATAGATTTGAAATTACAGTTCTAAGATTATGATTCCATCTCAATAAAAACTATGGACTACTCCAGTGAAATATTAACCAAATGGTTTTTCAAAAGATCTTCGAATTTCGCCATTTTTCTGTCCAACAGAAGACCTGCTTTTCCAATTGCAGTTCTAAGCGTTCCTGCAGCATGCTCCGGCATTTCTTGTTCTGCAAAAATGGAAAAACAATAATCATGTTCTAAAGAAAGATGTCAAAACTTCATGAAAGCCAGCATGTATGCCTTTGATGGGTACTCGATTAAAATGAACTGTATCATACGATTTAAAAGATCATTTTTCGCTTGGTTGCAAAGCAGCTGCAAGTTCGCCCGGGCTTCCATCAACAGACTGCGATATGTTTCTCCATCAGGCAAAACGAAGTTAATGCCATTTTCATTTTTAATTGTTTCCGCTACTTGTTCATTCGCTAATTGTCCATTACCAATGCTTATCTAAAACAGAGTTTTCATATTTGCGTAAACTTCAAATGTGGCCAATCAATATGGTCGAAATAGCAGAAACAACTACGATAAAAAAAATCAACATGGCATTAATTTAATTTAATTACAAATGATAGAATTTTGAGAGTTAACATCAGATAGTACATATATTAATTATCTTTCAATTTTTTAAGAGATGGATAAACCCTCAAATTCTCGCAGCGACAAATCTTCAAAGTTTATTCACTTGGATATTTAAACTGCGTGAAACTAATGATGATTTAAGAGTGATTTTCTTAGATATGGTAAAATTACTTAAGCAATATCGTATATATGAAAAAATATGAATTATATATATACATGAAAAAATCTAACCTCTGATTGATTAGCAATGTGTGGTTCACTCTCTATTGATGTTTTTTGTAGAGCTTGATGTATTTGATGTGCAATGCATGGTTTTGGGCTGCTATGGCAATATGCCGCATCATACAACTAAAAACAGCAAACGAATAATAGGGAGAAATCTCATTAATAACTAGAAGGAGACATAGCTTATTAGCAGTACGACTCTGACATCGAAGCTAAAGTAAGGCTTTTGTATTAAGTTGTTGCAAGAGTTTTCTTCAATGTTGAAATCGGCTGTTTCATATTGTAGTGCAATCTTAAATAAATACCTTTATATTATGCATTATTTTAATGGTTGTTCATTGTTTTTTTTTTCTTGTGAATAACTTATTGTTTGCTATTTTGTTTATATTTTTTATAGAGTAAGAAGACAGACAAAAAACAGTTGTGAGCTAATCTGCTATTTGAGTTCAAACTGAAAGATAAAGCAGAAAAGGCAATTTTCAGTATTTTCCGAGAAGGTGTTGGAGAAACGTCATACTGTCAACCGAAGTTGTCGAGATCAGTTGAAATGAATCACAAATGCTGACTTTCCGCGCATACAAGAATTTAATGCTGGTACTCTGATATTGCAAGCAAACTAGACAGGTGAAAAAGATTAATAAATGGGTGACTATGGACTGCGAAGTGTGACAAATTTAAAATACTTCTCAAAATCGAACTTAACCAAAAAAGTCACTGTTACTGCTTATTAATTTGCTACATTATAATTTTCTGAATCAGACAAAGACGTTACTCTGATGGTACACTCTCCGGATCAATCAGAGCATCTGTCAACAGGAAGAGTAATCTATCACGATACATTTTTATGTAATACAATCAGCGCTTCAATAAGTATAGAGAAGTGGACTATGGAGTTCAGCAACATCTGTCACATTTGGTTGACCTTTCATTAACTGATTTACTGCTCGACAACTTTTCTTCTACAATTATTAGGAGGAAAAAAATATTTCCCGGAAGTTCGTCGATTCCCAAGGCGTGGATATCTATTTTATAACGCGGATATTTTAAAGAATAAACAGGTTTATTTCTTCCTGTCATAGTTCGTAATTCGACAAATATGTGTCTGATAATTTGAAATTCACAGTGACTATTTACTAATATTACTCACTAAACTCTGGAGGTTAATGAACACCTAACACAGTCTTCCAAATATATATATCAGATGTAACAAAATGTTCAAAAAAAAAGTAAAATTCCTTAAGTGCGAGATCCTTTATAAATGTCACTACCAAAGAAGATAAAACACAATTTATGCGAAACGAAAAACCCAGCCGTGGAATGTGTTTCATTTTTCTAGAAAAATTTTTTTAATTAAGTAATTTTAAAAAAAAAAAAATTTTTTTTTTGATTTAATTAATTCTGTATTTTTAATTAAGAGATGTCGAACCTACTCAATACTTATGCAACAAACATACTGACAAAAAAGAAAAATGATGAAAAGGCAAAGTACTTGTCCAAATTATGAGAAAATCCTTCGAAATATTTCTAGCATTTTAAAAGTAACAAACTTGATTGGAAGAAGCAAGAGAATTTTGTGGTGCAGCAGGATGATTTAGAGGCTTCGCTGTATACGTTTGATCCGATAATGCCATATTTCCTCCTGCTTCTCCTTAAAACATACATTTCAGTAAATGTTGAAATAAACTTATTAACTTGAATTTACATTGGTTGTTTTTTTTTTCCTTTTTTTTTTTTTTTGAATGACAATTTCTAAAAAAAATGATCAAAAAATATAACCAAATAATGTTTCCAAAGTTTGTTGAACTAATATTGTAAAATGTATCATTATTTTGAAAGTGACAGTAAAATACTGTCACTTTCAAAATTGTACTGTTACAAACTCCTATTATATCTGATATATATATAATTCGAATTTCACTGACAATTGTCAGCTAGACTTCTATTTCGTTTATATGCAGTCTTTCAAAATGCTGATAAAAACGAAGACTTTTAGCAACAGCCAAAGAAAAGAGTCAAGAAACAAACCCATACCCTTCATCTCTTCATTCGAACTGTTTTCAAGCAGATGATCAAAATGTTCGACTAGTTGCCGTACCGGTGCTGACGTCCTTGAAATATCATCTCCCATTTGTGAATTATTCCGACTCGTTACTTCTTCCGATGTCATACTACAAAAGTTAGAAATGAACAGCTAGGAAGAATTGAAAGAGTACACCCATAAGAAAATTAGGTCATTAAACCTAGGATAAGTTCATCATGCAATTAATGTTTTTAAAATGATTAGCATAAGATTTAAGCAACATATGAACACAACTTCAAATAAGTTGAATTACATGATGAAATTTAAAAATAGGCTGAAATAATAAATAAAAGTCAAAGAAAAGATAAGAGCAACTATATACTTTACCCAGGACTGCTCTTTCCAGTTATGTATTAAGGGAAGGGTAATTCCATCCCATTAATTCTCCGGCCATTCAGAAAAAAGCATTCTTATTGTCCCCAATCAGTGTAGAACAATCTATACAGAAATGTATACAAATGAACATCACTAAAAAATAATAGAGCCACTGATGTGAGTGCAAAGAACTTCGCTTTTTTTATATAAAGCTTTGAAATTACTAGCATATTTGAGGCAAATTAATGGAAAATTCGATAATTTGAATCTCGACGACCAATCAGGCACCACTAAAACATGATTAACTATGATGCTGCCTAATAAATATCAACAAAAATGATCTTCTCGTATGAGAAAAAATTTTCCTGATGATAATAAGAAGAAAAAATTTTAATGACAATAATAAAAAAAAAAAAGTCGTTCAAAATTCAATAGAAGACGCAAAATTCACAAATACTGCTCACTGAAATTTTGGAATTCATCAAGAGTGCAAAGAAAAAAGGAAAATAAACATCGTGATAGTTTCGGAAAAATAATTCTAACACTTAAATATTTAAATATGTTAGCTGTAACAAAAACCTGAAGTATACGAATCATTTCTAGTTATAACAAAAGTAACCTAATTATTGATCTAAACTGCTAGAGCATTGAAAACAGCTATTAAGAGCTAACATATTTAAAAAAAAAAACTAATATTTATATCAACTAGTGACGATGATATAAGCTATTATATAAATATCACTAGGTATTAATTCGTACCAATTCTAACAATGATCGTGGTCATTCTTCAAAACTTTTCAAGCATTCAAGATTATACTTTCCGGGAAGAGATTACTACTCCATGTTTCTTTATCTTAAACAACACTTTGATATCTCAAAAAGCGAAATGGTCAGCATCACTCAACCTATTTTGCGGAATATCATATGTGAGAAAAGTTGAGACGAGAGATTTGGATGATTAAAAGATTACTGATTCTTATTCTGGATTATGACTAAAGACATAAACTAAAGAACTAAACTATATAGTACTAATAGAACAATTCATATTCGCATCTTTAAATTAATTTGACTGATGCTGTATTCATCAATTCCATCTTTTGCAAAAGTATGTAGCATCAAGTCTAATCCAGTGCTGCAGGTAACTTTTTAGATTATAAGAAGGGCACAACGAGGGATGATAATTCCTTGCATATTTCAAAATTAAGGAGCAAAAAATGTTTTCATAATATCAAACTCTGAGAATATGGAGTCTATTTTATTGTTGAATAAGGCACTCATAATGATAAAAATCTCTTGTACACTTAATAAAAATGGAAAAAGACAACAATCTAACGTCAGTTCTTCAGATCTTTACTATCTTTTATATAAGGCAGTATATTTCACAACTTTTAAAAGGTATGACCTTGTCAGTTAAAGACGCACTAGATCAGAAACACATGAAAAACATTTGATCAAAAGAAAGCCTCTCATTTTTTAAAATTTGGTTACACTTCCACCGAAGCCAGCAAATGTTTGACCAAAAAGTGTAAAGAGCAGCATATTTAAACAATGTCGAAGTACGATGGAAAAATATTTCAAACAAATGCTTCTTAAAAATACTGTTATAAATTGGACAATTAAACCAAAAGCCTGAGTCATAAAAAATCCAACTAAGGGATGAACACCACAGAAAATTTGATAACCAACATTGAACGTTTCCTTTCAATGGTAATACGAAACTGACATTTTTTTTTCCTAGAACAAAGTTTTCTTATTCACTAAAAAGCTCACTTGATTTAACTGATAATTTAGCACATAATTAAATCAAAAAGTAAACTTTGTGCACTTCATTTTTTCTTGCTTATATAAACTAATGTTTGAAGAATTATTTTACTTCTGTTAAAATCTCCTGTCGCTTACCTCCTTCCCCTTGCAAATATTATTATGCGAAAAAGTGGTGAGTAAAATCTTCAACATAACAAAACAAATATGTAGTTAATAAGCGTATAAACAGTAAAACAGTATTACATCATTATTTTAAAAAATTGCGTAGCACATAATAGCTAGCAAAGCATATCACTACTACTGACAAATAAACTAGAAGAAAAAGATTAAATTTAAATGATATAAATTGATATTTGAAGGATTCAAACATCGAGTAAGAAAAAATGATAATTTTAGATTCTCCAGCGGAAATAAATAGCAATAACAGAAACAGCGTTGTGAATATCAGGAAAGTAGATGAGTTTAACTATAGTAAAAATTGGGCAAAGAATAAAAAATGACATTAAATAATCGATAACAAAAAAAGATGCAGAAAAATTAAGTGATGCTTGAATTTCCAATTTAACTTCTTCTTTCTCCCTAAATCTAGCACATATATTCTACTCTTCTTAACTTTGAAAAAAAAAAATGTCTTCAGACGACTTGAGCTCTGTGAATGAGTTTTGAACTTGATGATATATGCTCCGTATAGGAACAAGAACATAATTTACAAATGGATGTACAAATAGGCTATTTCTAAAAATATATGATTATTTATTTGTTTGGAATGCATAATGTATAATGCGATAGAATGTGAAATCGAGGCCTATTATTCATTCATCAAATGAAAGTCAACATCGTTGATGAAGTTTTATTTACATTCGAAAAAATAAAAATAAAATATTGGTGGCCTGAAATAAATGGATGAGATAGACTTTACTGTTTCCAAGCTTGCAATGACCAGCTGTTGTCTAATTAACCGAAAAAAAAAAAGCTTATTTTGTGTTTCCTCTATCTTTTTCTGCAGAAAAGTATAAGAAAATTAAAGAAAAAAAAAATGGATGGATATGAAAAATCTGCTCGAACTTTAAATTAGCTCTCCATTATTTTTTTTTTTTTATTTCTCTACAAGCGCAGCATCAAGTTAAAAGTCATTTAATTTGAATTGAATTCGTTTTTCAGAAGTCACTCATTGACTTTAAATGGAATTTTTCTAAAAAAGCATTTATTGATCAATGTTCAACAAATGATTTGAAATAATTTGTGGCAGTCTCCAACAGTGTTACATGAGAGGAAATCACCGTTCGCAGCATGCACGATCTTTTTCTATAAGATAAGATCATCATCATCATTACTGACTTGCCAACTAACTTGCGAAGGGCATACTTATCATTTTCTGTTCACTCATTGATGATATGCATGGTCACCTATTTACACTCTCACTCCTGTCCGTTCTCAAAAGTATTTCTGCAAATAATACTATTATGTTGACTGCAACATCATGCAAATATTAAAAAACAAGGAAGAAGGAGATTTTGAAAATTAAAGAAATATGAAGCAGTAAGATAATAGAAGGAATAAAGCAGTTGAATCAACGACAGTAAAAATCCTGTACATGATCAAATTATTAATGGAAAATTAGCTCAAGCAAAGCTGCAAATGTTGACATTAAATTCTTCGACTACCATTAAATAAGATAAAGAAAGTCAAGAAAATTGTTCATTTTTGGTATTTCGATTCAATGTCAGTTAGTTGAAACTGAACTAAGATGATCTAATGAGATCTAATAATTATACCAACTGCTTGATGGGAAATAAATCGGAAGTTTTTATTTGAACTATGAGTTATTGAGTAAGATGCTTTTTTCTCCGTCCTGCGTTATTGGAATCAGAAGATGTAAAGAGCAACAACAAGTGATTTCCATATGAATGTAAATACTGCATAACACAGAGAGATAAAAACAATCAGTTCAAGAATTCTATCTCATATCTTTGTTTTATCAGTTCACACTTCCAACATCCCTCCTCTAAACATTAAAAATAGTAGTGCAAGAAACTCTAAGACAACATTTAAGCAAAGTGTCACAGAGACATACCTTTTTCGATAATCGTTGTCATCATTTTGACTGAAAGCTAATTTACGTGTCTCAACAATGCTCATCGGTAATTTCTGAGACACAATGTTTCGTCGTCGACAAGATTCGTCGATATGACGATATGGACGGCGATAACCATTCAGAGCACAACTAATACGTAGATATGATGGCACACGGGTGATTACATCAAAGTTATCTTCTGAGTGAATACCACTCGTGTTCATAGACAATGCCGTTACACTTCTTTCCATTTCCTATGATTAAAATTAAAAATAAAAGATATGTAATGAAACAATATTATCAGCATCATATTTTATTGTTCGTGGGTTCACTGTTACTTAAGAACAACTGAATTTTTTTAACTTTTTTTTATGTTTCAAGAATAAAGAACTTCACTTTTTAACCCACGAAAAAAGTTTTGAAACGAAGTGCATTAAAAAAAATATGGAACCTTAGTAATAAGTAAGAAAACATTACTATCAAAACACTATTCAACTCCAAAAAAAAAATATACAAATTGCAAATTTATAAAAAAAAAATTTAGCAAAAGACTATATGTTAACTGAATTATTATAGCCAGGATCAAACATCTCATTCCTAACAACTAACAAAAAAAAAAAAAAATAGTAAATAAGTCATATCTCAACAGTGCAATAAAACCAAAGACTGAGGTTGATAAATTAGTTGAAAATTACTTGGTCTTTCCGAAGAGTTATAAGACGCAGGTCATTTTCTGATACAGTTGGCCTGGAAAGTACATCTCCAGAAGTGAAGGCTGTTGGCAGAGTTGAAGTTGAGAAAACCTAAAATTTTTGCCTTTAAATTTTAATTCAGTCGAAATTTATTATTAGTCCCATCTATAATTTCTGCCTTGTTCAAAAAAAACATTTAAAAAAATGTGAAATTGGTATTTTGCACATGAATAAAATCAAGAAAATATCTTTTACTTATCATTTAAGTAGTTTGTAGTTACTAGTTCACATTTTCGTAAAACTAACATAAGTTATCCATAAAGCATTTTGAAATCCATAAAGCATTTGAAATAAATTAAGAAAGCTTTGAGAAAAATGGACCTTTCCATGAAAATTAAACACTTAAACAATATCCAACTTCACAAAGCATGATTAGGCTGAAAAATGCTGATAAAAATTGAAATTAAATTTAGTCGGTGAAATAAATTATTTAAAGTGGAAAATATATTAGGATATAAATATTTAACATTGCACACATTATCTGTTTGCAGATTGGAAATGCAGAATAAATTAGCACTATTTAATTTCCATTCGGCTATTACATTTGTTAAAGCCAGCATTCTATTATTTTTACTCTAATTCTCAGTGCATCGAAAAGTTTTTGTCTATGGTGTACTTTTTTTCTATAGTAGTAGAGTGAAAAGTAGAAAAATGAAAAGTAAAAAAAGTTAGAAGCATTCAAAATAGGACAAGGAAGTTTATTAAAAACATTATTTGCATTAAGTCTTCTCGAAAAGAATTTTCAAAAAATGTGAAATATCACATCACATGCAATAAAATAAAAAAAAAAAAAAAAAATTGTTAAAATCCTATCAACTATTTCTAAGTACGACATTTGAATATGTAATCTTTTTTTCATGATGACCTTCAAGAAAATGCATTCCTGAACTCACCTCCGAACAGTCAATGAAAATATTTTAACTTCATTAACCCTTCCAATAAGCCCTAATACTTAAACAATAATTCAAAGAACATTAGAACGCTATTACATATAAGGTGTTATTTCGACCGAGCAAGCTGCTTACGTAAATGAAATAATAGCAAATGAATATTGTTAACATTATATAGCAATAAAATAAAATGGAAATTGGAGAAAACCTACAGTTTCATGGCTGCTGTTGAAGTCGTTTTGATAGGACTGTGAATAATTATCAACATCACGAGTGATGGAAGGTGCTTCACGAGTTTTACGGCTCATTGATAACCGATGAATGATACGAAAAAACGGTGATGAATGTCGTTTTGGTTTCGGTGGCGGAGAAATGTGCAATTCATTTTCGGTATTCAATTCGTTGTCTTTAACGCTTGCACCCTACATCGAACAGTATTATACTATCATAATATCTTGTTCTTAGATAAAGAAAATGAAGTTAATTCTACAATATAATCTAGTTGTAAATGTTATCATCTAGAATTATTCTTTTCTGAAATACAAATACATGAATACTGGGACCATTTGTATCCCCAAATAAACATGTAATTCTCGACAAAAGAACAACGCATGATTATGCAGTTGGCCGTTATGCTAATGTTAATAATAACAGAAAATTACATACTCCATCCGGAGCGAAAAAATAATGATTGTTCAGCATTTATAACATATTTTTCGCTCAGTTATCAAACAAATGATTAATCATTTTTTGAATCAAATCCTCATTTCCCAGTCATCAATTCATATTTATGTTTCTGTAGTTTGTCATCATTTCAATCATAAATTGCAATTGTTTAACTGTTTTTCTCACCCCTCTGCAACAATAACTATACTATCACTTCTTTCTTGTTTCTTCCAGCCCAGCAATGTTCCGTGCTGGAGACCTGGGCTTAACTGCAGCAGCACTAAGCCTTATCGCTCCTATATTTTTGAAAAGTAGTGATGCAATAGAATCATATAAACTGGAAGAAATATTCTTATTTTTGCTGTAATTTACAAATGTACTAAATATGATATACTGTGTTTACTGTTTCTTTGAGTGTTAGTTAGTGCATAAATTCAGTCATCACACCCAAAATTTTGAATGCTTCACATTTTTAACAGGAGAAGCGGGAGAAGCAGGCTGAGTGGGATAGGTAGTGATAGCGTCATCCGACAAGTACAGCGACGGATCTCGCGGACTCTTGCTGCGACGTCTTGTTGAACCGATCCTCGAGAAGAAATGCCCAATTGGTGATGGTCGCATTTTAGGTTCGGCTGTATATTTTCCCACAACTATAATAAAACTCTTATTTCTTCGTACACTATTACACCACGAAATAATTAAATCCAATCTCTACTTCATTTTTGTAAAAAAAAAGAAAGTTGAACTACCATTTTCAACAATATAAGTGAAAAAAGCGAAGCAACAATTTAAAAGTTTCGCAACCTCAATTAAAATGAAATAAAATAACGTAAAGAATACGGCACAGTAAAGTTCGACATAATATTTAATACCTTGTGCAGATGACACTGACATCCTGTTTTTAATTCAATGCGACCGAAGATTATACTACACCACACGCGTCCTCTTAAAATTTACTTAGCGAAGTTGGAACTGAAATTAACTTAAATAGTAAACAAAATTCATCCAGCTTTATTGGTACAATTACACTCAATTCTCCGAACAAAAATCAGTTTTTTTACGATTTTATTGGCATGTTTACTACCAGTTTCTAAAATTAAAACATACAATTTACCAACAACTTGCACTGCTGGTAATTAACCTCCTAAAGCAATCAATGAAAATTGAGCAAATTACAAAATCATAAACAACGACCAAATATCAAAGTTTCACATCTCTATAAAAATCTGTCCATGTCCACGGATGAAATTCTCCTCCCACCGCTATCATTGGTAATTGAAATTATTAAGCGATAACATTGCGACCAAAAAACCGTCATAAATGTTTGTTCATACCATGATGACACGTTTCTCTGTTTTAATCCTTATCTCCCTCTCTCAATCATTGTTACAACAATTAGTTAATACTATTTCATAGTTATTCTTGATTATTTGTAATACATCTATTCAGCTATTTCTTATACATCTTCTTAACTTAGATACATCTCAGTGTTAGAAACTATTCCAACTCTTTATAGCTTCGTAATTCTTCTACGCCAATTATTACATTAGTGTAAAGATATTATACATGTTAAGCACACATTAATTAGAGTAATTCATAAATGCGATACATTATTACATGCAGCATCAGTTCTTATGCGATATACTAATAAAGTAGGATGACATGGTGTCACATAACTTATGTGTGAGCCGAATAATAACCGTCAAAACGTAATGTAGCCTTATAACTATTATCCACATATGCACTCAACTGGGATATAAAACATAGATAAAGGAAAAATATACAGGGAACAATCTACATACTCCCGTGAATAACGTCATATAGCACTTCTTCGATACCACTCATACATTGTTATCATTCTACCATATCCATGTATTATAACCGTTATTTTATTCAATTCACATGTCTTGAAAATTTGTTAGTGATAATTAGATCATTTATTGCAATTCTCAAACAGCCTATGGATGAGCACCCTGAAACGATCATACCGTACATTTGCATTGAAATCGAAAAAAGATCATTTGGGCATAGTTTCGGTTCATGATAATATGAAGTTTATGTATTAGAATGATATCGTCAGTAATGATAACGACTCCGGAAGTTACAAAAGATATACAAGATCTCTTCTTTTTTAATAAGAAACAAAACTTTGCAATAGCAAGGAAAAGGAAGGAGGAATAAAGACAAAATGGATAAAAGAAAAATTTAAGTGATTACAACAGTTTTAATTACAAATAAATGATAATAGCCATAAAACACTGACTGGAGCAAAGGTACCAGGAAAAACTACAATCGGACAGAAGCTTTTCTACATATTTATTTTACAATACATCAAAGAATAACAAAGTATGTGTTAAGCTATGATATAATAAATCATTTCGTTCACTTTACAAATATACAGCAATTTGTTGAAATAAATCTTTTGTACAAATACATACTCCTGAGTTCAAATTGTCTATACTTAAATGCAACTTTAATATCCCTCCAATTTATCTACATTTAGAAAGGAAAAGAACAATTTCCTGTGATACACACGCAATTTCCGTCTCTCAGTCTATGTGTATTATTTGCATAGCAGCCCACAGCAGAATGGACTGCTTCTATTATGCAAAATCAACAACACAAAGAGCAACCAAAATCTCAAAAAAAAGAACTGAAGTCTGTTAAATGTCTTTCTGTTAATGTCTGTTAAATGAATTTATGAAAAAGAGGAAAAAAAAAACTCATTCTGAGCAAAAAGGCTATCTATACCATGATAATTCTAAGTAATTCTTCTAAGTCAGATTTTTTTGAGATAAGCAATTCAAAAATATTACTCATAGCTAATAAGCAAATATTACACTTGAACGAATTCTGAGAAATAGGCAATGTTTCTCAATAAAAAAGAGAAATGTTTAAAGCACTGATTTTTCTTATACCGCGGCCTTAAAAAAACTATTTAAAAAAATGGTAAAGCACAACTGCTGAAACTGCTAGAAAATAACGACGGAAAAAAAAAAGTAAAAAACTGAAGCGTAAAATGATGAAAGTGAAGCAAATTAAATAAAACTAAAATAAGAGAGAATAAAAAAAAAAAAGAAAAACCATATTTTGATGAAGCAATAAAGATAATTCTGAAAAAAAGCAGTAGAATCAAAACAGTGCAACAATTGTGACAAAAATAATTAATATTCATATTAAAATAAAATAAAAAAAAAAACAAAAAGTACACAAGTTTTCGAAAACATGCGAAAAAAATGCCTGCAGAGGAGATACGCATTTACATTTAACAAGCTTTTCATACTTGATGAAATTAAATTCGCTTGCTGTGCTTTAATCTTAAATTATTTGTCCAGCATACAATATTTCGAATTTGAAATTTTCTTAGTATCTTCACCCCGTCGAACTCTAAGCTCAAAACAAATTCATCGGCGAAACATAAATTCGAATGCTCTGCAAAAATATTATGAGTCGAAACAGATCAATCATTTCTGATAACTATTTGAATATAAAAAAGCAAATAAATTTAATAGATGTTTCTAAGTACGAAGTATTCGTTCAGTCCCAGCAATCCAATGAGATTCAATTGTAGATACATTGTAATCGTCTTTCCATTAAGCTTGCAAATTCGTCTACGCATTTACTGTCGCTAACTTTCAAATGGGAAATTAAAAGAATCATATAAAAAGCAGTATTTCAAATAGGAATTCAACTAATCCACAGAAATCATCCAAACTGAATCTGATTACTACTACCTACCTTATTTGGAAAGACAAATATGTTGGTCTAATCTGGCAATAGAAGAAGGGTTTTTGGAAGAATTTCTAATAGTAAGACATATTCCGTCATACTATAATTAACTTCGACCGGTCGCCTTACTAGTCGCCAATGCAAGCCCAATTTGTTATACAGCGTTTGATTTTCATGATCCAATAACTTCTCTAATGCATGTACAGTCTGAAAAGAAAAGAGAAAAACAATATGGCAAGCTAACAAATATTATCATATAACGGATATTCTTTGAAAAAGATGGAATTTGTTATTCAGCAAAATTTTTGCAAAGAAAATGTAAAAAAGTTTTACGAATTTGAAGACTTTGAATTGAGAGTATCTCAGCTAAAATATTTTTAAGGGTAGCAGAAAATAATAATAGCATCGTCTAATTTTTCCAGACAAACCTGATGCAAGAAACTGATGCAAATAAAAAGGAATTTAACGTTACTTTATACAGTATGCTCTTTTACAATGTTATGTTATCAATATAAGTAACAATTCATAAATCTTCAGTTTATAAAATGTTGAGATGTGCAAGGACATTTTTTCTTCTTCTATCTGTAAAAAGATTAGGACGGCTCACAACATTCCAAGATTATTATAATTCATCAGAAAAGTTACTCAAATAGTATAGCCAACTATAAGCTGTACAACTTACACGTTTGTTCAAACAAACAACCGGCCATAATGAGCAACCGACGGTACAACAGCAAAAGAGCAATCCACAAATGAGCCAACGAACATTTCCTGACATGCTCCTTGCTAACACACCGTTAATTTTTCGCATCGTATCGGCTAGCTCTTCTGGTGCTAAACGGCCGGTTAATACGGTTGGAAATTCAGTATCAAATCGAGAGCTCAGACCGAACCTTAAACCATACAAGAGGCTGCTCAAACAGACAAACTGATGAAGCAGAATTTAGAATAATTTTACGACTAACAAGTAGAGAACTAAATTATGTAATTCGAGCAATATCACTCAATCAATAGCAGCGGTTAATGTTGGAATTATCAAAACTGCTTGGTTTTACAGCACTTTTTCTAAGACTTCAGGAAGGAACCTTATTTTGCACGCCTTAAAAAAGTTTAGAAGCTAACATTAAAACCAATCATTTAATTCATAAGATTATTGGTTTATGAATAAGCTAGACATCCAACTACTGCTTTAGAGCATTCCCTCAACTTTCTGGTAATAATTGCATTATTTTGATATGACAGAAGGCTAATACTCCATTCACCAGTAATATTTAAATCATAATTGGTAGAATACACTTTATTGGTTTAATTAAAGAGTAAAGAGAATATTTGTTATATTTGTTACAATTAAGAAAAAAAAAATGTTTCGAAAACATAAGGAAAAGAAAAACAGCCACAGCAATCTCGAAAAGAAATTCTTTTTTTAATTAACTCAGAAATAAACAATGTTACAAACATTAAGGAGCGGAACTTTTAGAAGGATTAAATGCAAAATACAAACATCGTTAGATGGCCAACTCCGCGAAAAATGATTGGCTCTTTGCTGCAAATCATTGGTGAAGGTATATCGTCAACAATTTCAATGATGTCGATATCGGACGACATCGTCCTTTCTGTATATCTTCCTGTCAGCACCTAGATTGATATTTTTTGTCTAGAAGAGAAGAACGAACAATATAAAACTGTTAACTCGGTAATAAAAACATAACAACTAATAATCATGATTTCGACTGTGCTAACAACTACATCAGCATAACAAAGAGCAGTATAAAAAAAATATCACTAATCACCTTATCTTCCTAAGAAAAAAAAATAATTATGGATTTAGAACAATTATAATAATGAAGTTGATCACAATAGTGACGACAATTACTACTACACTATCTGCATCAAATATAATTATTACCTATCAATCAAATAGTTATTACAAAAACAAAAAAAAAAAAAAAAATAGGAAGTTAAATGTCGAAATTGATCAGAGCTTATGTTTATCAACCTGTCAGACACTGCACCACCTTTCGTTTTCATAAGAGATTAAGGGAATTTGATTAAACTGATGTAAAAATATAAGCTTTACGTATAAGCGTACCATGCAAGCATGTTTGCGTATTACCAAGTCATGTTCATATGATATCCCGGATGACTGATCTATCGGTTAGGACGAT